TCCTTAATTAAATTGTTTAAAAGACCATCAATGATGATTTTCCGAAACGCTGACTCGCGCTATGTTCTCGCGATTACTAAGCGCGATTACGAAGTGCACAAATAAGAAGTGGAAACTTTCGTTGTAAGAAAAATGTGCGCGGTAACTTTTATCATTTAATTGAAAATATAATTTCTTATTCAAAATAAATTTTATTGCTGTAAACAATGAATTTTGGGATAAATTTTTATCTTATACGACACAGATATACTTCACAATAATCCGACATAAATATCGTTGCTTTAAAGAGAGAGATCAAAAAGGAACTTGAAGAGTTAATATTCCCTCATCACTCTCCCTACGTGTTTCACTACATTCCATTCTCAGATTCCCTTTTCCGACTCTCGCGCATTCCTGGATCCTTTTTACTCGCTTCTTCGCGAGCGTAGTTATTTTCTCGCGATCTTCTCATATGGCTTGCTTCTTTCTTATTGAGACTACAGCATCGCGAGCTGTCTAAGCATATTTATCTCTTTCTTTTGCTGCACTATTTTAATCTTGAGTGATCAAGTTCTTGACAAGCGATACTTATCCAATTTTCTACGTAAATAAAATTTGAAAAATTAGTTTAATCCGAAAATATAATTACAAAAAGGAAACTAAAAAGGAAATAAAGAAAAAATAAATAATAGATTATAATAAATTATATGAAAGAATATAATATTATTTTGCTTTTTTTATAAATACAACAATTTAGTAGTGTTTCGATTAATATGAATACATAAATATATAAAAATATAATATAGATTTGTAAATAGACATAAATAATTCTTATTTTAGCTTTTGCAAATTTCTTTACATATCTCGGTATGATCTTTATGCTCTTCTTTCTAATTTCACTGACTTTCTCTGAGGTTTTTCACGCACATCGAAGATAATATCACTTATACACATTACAACGAAGTACGGAATCGATCAATCGTTGTAGGTTCACGCGTCAACAAGGACGACGTCGCGTCGTTTTTGTGACGTAATTACCGTGGCAACTGCGAACAACGCAACCTATTAAAATTAAATCAACTTCTCATTAGGCGCGGCAATAAGCCAATCGAGCCTTCGAAGACCCTCCAGGCGGTGTCTTTTTTGCGAGGAAAGTAACAGCGTAATACTGTCTCTGTAACGTTAATATAGAACCGCGAACGCCGTGCTCACTCTTTCGTCACAAACGAGACCTTAATTAAGAAAATCGGCCGAGTGTCTCGACAGCTCGATTCTGTCTCGATCCTTTGCTTACTCTCGCCATCAAGATCGCGAGGATTTGTCTCGCCGAGCGTTGGTACTCGGAACGCGCTACGCCGGTCGCGGAGGACTAGCAATGAAAATTCAATGACGCAAGCAATTTGAGCTCGCCGCGAGCGCGCAAGCTGCAATCTGAAAGTATAAACGGTAGTTGTGTGCTGCGCGCACAAGAGCTTATCCTCTTTCTCTTTCTCTTCATCTCTTTGTTCGGTGTTCCTTGCTCTTTCGCGCGTTTCTCTCGCGCTACCACAGAGCTCACATGTGCTGCGTGGTCGTCCGGTGGTTGGCTCGCACAGAGTAATCGCGTAATTTGCGTGTAACGATGCAATTTGTAGTTATGGCGACCCGGCTCTCTTTCCGTCTTTTTCTGCCCCTTGCCTCTTCTCGGTTGTCGTTTTTGTCGGCGACATCGACTTCGGGAACGATAGGAATAACGGCAGCGAACAACGACGACAGCCAAGGAGTTTACGCTTTGAAGACGGAAAGGACTTGTGAATTTAGTGTGAGCCTGGATCGCCTTTGATCTCTCCCTTCGAGCTTATTTCCACATTTGGCGTTGTAGAAGCAAATGAGGAAGAAAGAAAGAGCGAGAGTTAAAGTCGCGATCATTAGTGATGCAACAATAATTTTTAATCTTTATTACAATCATAATTATGTATATTATATATATATATAATTATATCAATATTTTTTCGAATAAAATTTAATGTTTAACAATTGACTCATAATTAAATAGTACATTGCAATAATCAAATAGATAATAAAACTGTTGAAATTTTTGATACTTTACTAAAATTTCTCAATTTTGATTTATTTGTAATTTGATGAAGGGTGATAACTTGATCGCACCGACAGGCGCATTCAATAGTTCCTTTCTGGATCACGGTTCACGCTTTTTCTTACGCGATCGCTCGTGTTACGGATATCGCGTCCTCTATCTCGACGGCGAGAAGGATGCCTCCGCAGGATCCTTGGGCGCGAGTGAACGAGAGCGTCAGGTATAACTGAGCTCGCGAATGACTTACAGATCTCAGGCCGCGCGAGCAAAGCCACCTCTTTATCTCGATTCGAAAGTTCGTGCGCAGCGGGCGTCCTGTTACGATATAAATTGCCGACTTAGCTGCGGTAACTACTTATCTATACGTACACGTCGTGCCATCGATCGTGATAGTCGACTTTGCTACACCCAAGTCCGATCCTCTCGCGAAGTATACACGTAATCCTTATGAAGTACGTGCGATTTTTGCACCGTCGTAATTCCTCCCCCTGCGCGTTTTATTACCACTCGCTGAAATAATTTCGAATGAATGTGCGATAAAGAAATTGTGAAGCGTATATCCGATAACTTCGTAGCGTCATAATTATGCGTCTTAGGAACAATGTAATCATTTAAGCTGCATGATAGGAATTTTCGAACAAGTGTCAAAACTTTATGACAATAAGTTTTCTGAACTGAGATATTTATAATTTGATAAATTCATTAATCGATTATAATATTTTATTTTGCCAATTGTGTTTTAATTATTTTAAAAAAATAGATATTAATTTTATTCATATTTTTCTATTTTATTTTTGCAGAATTAGTTTCTTAAAATGCATTCTTTGAAAGGTTTTGAAATATAATATTCTTCTTTATTTAAGACGATTAAACTCAAAATTTTTTGTTATTTTTAAATATCTATTATTTATAACCTATTGCTCATAAATTTTTATTAAATTCATTTAATATAAAGTTTGTTTCTTTAAACATTTTCTACAGACATTTTGATTTGATTTTATCGTCGCTCGCACAAGTGTACATGCGTGTTGTCCGATCGAGTCCGTTTTAATTAAAATCAACGCATGGTCCGATCACCTTTTAATCTCAGTACCGTGCGCACGCCGACCGGTGCTGGTCTGGCTTACATGTCCTACGTGCTTTTACGACGCGGAGTTATTACTCGCCTTGCTGTTTATTAAATTGAATTGTGTCGCACCGCGTCGTCGCCTCGTGGCACCGGCCCTTTATCGGACCCCTTTCGTCCCCGCCGTTCATTACCACCCGCAATTAAGCTAACCGCTCATTAAGAAGCCGCGAGCACGACCATTCGCGCGCCAATCAAAGGGCAGTCGACCTGTCAGATATTCGATACGGCTACTATTGCGGTACATTTGCTATCCGCAGTTTTCCACAAATGTAAAAGCGATGGAAGGTAAAAAATAAATGGCCCTTAACAAATCTAAAGTGATCTATTTTAGTAATTTTTTATTAAAAAAATTGATTTTATTTAAAACTTTGATTGAAGCTCAAAAATAAGCTTAATGATAATTATTCAAAATAGATTATTCAAATTTATATATTTTAAATGATTGACAGAATCTCATATCTTTTTGTAACAAAAACACTTTCACTAATGTATATAAATGTAAATAAATATTATTTTTCATATAGAAATTATTTGTCTACGAAGAGACATTTTAAAGTGTCTAAAAAATAGTTTCATTAAGATTTGTTTTTTTTTTAAATAACGAATTGTACCGCGATGCGATATGTGTTGTCGCGCATTTCGCGAAATTATCGAAATCGTCGGTCACATCAACTTTATGGATATCTAGAACAATATGACGAAAACTCGCGTTTTGCCGACAAAGGAGAGAAAGAGAGCGCGCGGAATATTCGATCTCGGCGGGACAGCTACTAATAGGATTTTCGTGATCAAGTCCGTCGGCACTTTCGACTCGGCTCGCTTCTCATTCCCATAAGAAGGCAGCCCCGCGTATGTCTGCCTGCTGCTGCTTGTGTCGAGCGTGCGCGTGTGTGCGACCGCCATTGTGTCAGATCGTGCCTCCACCGTAACTTAGATCCCTACGTTGACCTCAAGGTGCATCGGTCTCGTTGCAACGTGCATGTTACAGAATTTGCGTAATCACGTATCATCGGTCCGAGTCTCTTTCTCCCTCCTTCCTCCGCCTTCGCTCCGCCGGTCGGCACTACGCAATCTTGTGTCGTTCCACACGTCTTTATTGTACATGTACGTGTATCGAAATGTATCCAGTAACAAGGGAAACTTAACGTGCCATTCCATAGGCATTAGTCCCGTCACGTTTATGGCTCCTCGTACATGTTCTATCAATAAGAATCTGCATACCATCTGCATTCGGATGGATCTTGATTTCAGCACGTGGTAGCTAATCGCTTATGCTTTATCGCTTGTCAATCACGCCGTCCCTCGTGATTACGCGCGAATTTCGCAGCGCGTGAATTGATGCAAACGCTGGTAGAAAAGTAATATTTTGTTGTCGGCGAAGCGCAGTTGATGTTTTTATGTTAGAAGATTGGGCTCGGCGACTGGCACATGATATTAATGGAGAAAGTTCTATTGAAGTATTAAGATTTAAATTGACTGCAGAAAGTAGAATTTTACAGTGGAGTCATTTCAGAAAAATCTCGATAAATTAAGCGCCAAGTCATAATTAGGAAATGTTAAAAAGATGCTTTCAGAATATACGAATTGTTTGTTTAGAAAAAGAAATTATTTTATAAATCTGCGAAATTGTAAAGCTAAATTAAAAAATAAAGTTCTTTTTATTACTTACAGAAAGTTAATGTTGATAGGAAGTATGGAAAAACTTTAAATTTATTAATTTTATGTGATAGTTTTGGAATTTTTTAAATATGTGCAAACGAAATTGAATTTAAACTCGATTTAAGATTAAATTTAACAAACGCTCTTATTTTTCAGGATGCAAGAGTTTCTTCAAGAGGAGTGTCAGGCGGAATCTAACGTACTCGTGTCGAGGGAACAGAAATTGTCCAATCGACCAACACCATAGGAACCAGTGCCAGTTTTGCCGCTTGAAAAAGTGCCTGAAGATGGGCATGCGCCGGGAAGGTATGCACTGTACTGAACCCTTTTTATATATTTATTAGCGATAGATCTGATCTGCTGATGATCACATCAAGGCCGCTGAAATGATGTTCAAAGTTCTCGGAGAGAAAATTACAAGTTCCGATTTTTAGGAAAATTTTATGGAAATTTTACCTAATTAAATGGATATTGCATTTAAAATATATATTTAATATAAATTTTTCTAATGAAGGATCAAGTCTCAAATTTTCAGAGTTTTTATTAAAACTAAGATCGAGTATCCTTTAATATGTCATTGTATTAAAAGATTAAACATATTAAATTAAGCGCTTGTAACATTTTTTCCGAGACTTGTTTGTTTATTCTGCCGTGTTTGTGCGCCTTTTGCAATAAAAAGGAGGAAAGTTGTGACCAGGCGATATTTCTTCAATATACGAAGCGAATCTTGAACACGAAAGTTTAAAATAGAATAGCAAATACACGCGACAAGCGTTAGGATTTCCGTGTGTTCGTCGCGTTGTTCTTCGAGAAGAACTACACGTTTTGTAATTTATCTCGAATTGTTTCGTTGTTAGAGAAATGTTTGCATTAAATTTAATTTTAATTTGCAATTTATTTAAAGAACGATGCTTTTCACGACTGTTAATTGAGAAACTACTTGTTTGATCGCGATATCTGGAGAAATATCGCCGGCGAAGTGTCGATCCGGTGATAACATTCGCGCTATACGACTTGCTGTGATCACTCGTTAAACTCTCCGTCACACGGCCCATAAATCGAGCTCCCGTGACTCTTAGTATCACGTGTTATCTCGATCGAGCTGCTGAATTGATGGCATTGTATATATAACTAGATTGATTATGTTTATATTAATCTCTCTTTAAGAATACAAATATTTAGAATTATTTCGTTCGTTCGCGCCGTAATTAAATACATCGTACCTCGAAATGTGGTGCGATGAGAATTGTTAATTGCGATATAAAATGCATTATAATCACATCATAATTTACAAAATTATTTCCGCGTAAGGAAGAAATTACGCTCGCTACGAGCTTACACGCAAGACTACATTTGCTCTTATTAGATTAGATCTTCGCGAGACTATCTTTTCGAACCATCCGCAGTTCCGAACATACATAATATAAAGAGATTCTTTCGACAATATTCTACGAAGGACATCATATCTCGAAGCATATACCACATTGGCTTTCGGCGCGGCCCGTCGCCGTGGTGCAGGAACTTTTAATTACAGTCCGTGGAAAGGCCGGAAAGGTTCCCACGCCTTATCCCCGCCCGTGATTCCACGTTCCTTCACTCTTGAACTTGGCTACTCGCGCCGCGCGCGCGATAACATCTAACCTTGTTCCGCCGCGCGCACGAGGAGGAGAGGAGGCGCGCTCTCTGGTCATCGGCTCTCCTCGGTCTGCTTAGGTGTATACCCACTTCCGTCTGAGACGTGGCCGTCCATCGTGGACGGTACGGCCGTCCGTCTGCCCCGAAGCGTGCTCGCGCCACGATCGTAAACGCGGTAAATCACACGTTTTTACGCGTATTGGCCGCACGCGTCGACTTTTACGGTTATCGATGAAAAATGCAGACGGCGATCGACGATTTTGAGTGTTGAAAGGAAAATGAGGAGATACAAGGCGATTATGCGAGCGAGTTAAATTGAATTATTGTTTCTCAGGCCCGCGGTCAGAACGTTCCTACAAAAATGACTCCACATTGCTTGTATAATTCTGCCAAAATGATCTCCGCAGCCAAGTATAAGCTTCTACAGTCTTTCTACAAATTTAATTTTTCAAGATTCCTAAATTTTCTCGCCGGCATTTGAAGAACCATCGAGATCTCAAGATCCAAACGATTGTTCTTCCTCTCAGTCTTTCGTTCGCGATTCACAGAAAGAGCACGACTTCCCAGACGCGCCGCGCATTCTCGAATATTACGAGGGACGGTTGCATTTCGCGAAAGAGAAGCTCGCGTACGATTATTCGCACGAGAGGCCGGCCGCTCGCCTGCCCGCGGCGCAGTTTTTCCCACAGGAACGTAGACACGAGAAGCGCGGCGAATACGTCGCGTTTTCTGCCCTGTCACAGCGACATCCGCCCATTATCCGCGATGATGCCCCGCTCTTTGATAATAATTCGAGTCGCTCGCGAGCACGGGGCACGTAACTCCGTATACACTCACCTGGCCTCCGCTGTATACGTTCGCACGAAAGGCGCACGGGACGGAAAGAGAGGAAGAAAAAGAGCAGGGGATAGTGCGCGGAGGAAGCAGAAGAAGAAGAAGAAGAAGAGGACGACGACGACGAAGAAGAAAAGGCGGAAGAAAAGGAAGGAGAGAAAGAAGAGTGCACGAAGGGCGGAGGATTGCGGAGGGGGGAGGAGAGAGAGAGAGAGAGAGAGAGAAACATTGACGAGGGCAAGGGGGGGTTGCCGGCAGCGGCGACGGGAGCGGCAGCGGCAGCAACGGCAACAGCAACGGCAGCAACGGGAGGCAGAAGAAGCGAGAGGTCGAAGAAGGCGGGCGAGAGGGGAGGAAGGGCTTGAAGAAGCGAGAAGAGAGAAGCAACGAGGAGAAGGTGGTGGAGCGACGGGAGGCAGTGCGCGAGGGGGGAGGGGAGGACTAGAGAGAGGGAGAGACGATGGTCCGAGGTCAGCGGGGTGCATGACCTTACCTCGGGGGCCCCTTCCTTCCGTGGGGCCCTCGAGGCAGACAGGATGCGCTGAAGATTACCCCGTAGATACTGTCCGCGATGATTACAGAAATCTAGGAAGCCGCTCAATTTAATTAACCCTTAATTGCGAGCGCTCGGGACAGGATGGTGCGTTTACTCCGGGACCCTGGCGCTTTCCCCCGGTTCTTCTTGTCTATTCGAGGATGATGATGATGATGATGGCGGTGTGGTAGCCATGCCCGAGCGCGACGATGCGTGAGTTATCGCCTCGCGAAGCGAAGTGCGCTTTCTTTTAAAAGCAAACGCGAACGACGTTGAGACAGAAGAGAGACATGTAGTCTGCTGCGGATCCTAATTAATCAGTCTGGAGTTTGTTGGATCTCAGTTAACACCAGCGTCTGCATTTTTCGGATAAAGTAAATGTTTTAATCATCAAAGAGATAGTAGCGTATTTTTTGCAGAATAAAATATCGATTTCTATACTTTTCTATTGAGACGTAATGATTGAGCAGTAATAGCGTGAAGATAATATATTATCGAGACAACTCTGGAAAAGAAAAACATGTTCAAGCTTATACTTCGTTATTGTTAATTGTCAAGCAAAAATACGTTTATGTAAGAACATTAACAACTCCGCAGAGAAGTTTTTCAAGGCACTTAAAGATCAGAAAAAGGCCCAATGACTTAAAGTTTAAAAAACTGAAACAAGAAGGCGAATACGAGGCAACCACAGATAGTACTGCGATAAGAAACCCATCAAAATGCTTAAAATGGATACTTTTTATATATTTTTATGCGTTTTTTATCGCACCTCGTCTTGCGATCGGCTCGCAACGGTTTTTTTATTTCAGCTTTTTTGAACCTTTTCGAGATGTTAATCGGTAGTTTCTTTAGATACACGAGTTATTTATCTCGTATGACGCCTTTTAATGCTGATGTACAGCCCGAGTTTTTCAAACTTCTCTTCATTACGGCGAAAACAAGAAAAACATCCTTATTAGTTGATTTTTTCCGGTCCGCGAGTACGGAATTGGAGATTAGGTTTCTCGCGTTTGTGCGCTCTTCGGCTGGTCCCGTAACTATCGAGTGTGCCCATCGCGATACGCCGATAGCGACTTGCGACTAGAAGGCCCCGTTACGTACTTAATACGCTCGTTAAAACGAGGAACTTAGAAACGCATTCATTTGCCGGCGCGCACGTTTCTCTCATACTCTCGTAATAAATCTATACTGTTTATTTTACAACCCGCAGCCGTTACTTCGCGCCTGCTTCGGTACTTTTGCTTTAAAAAAAAAAAGAAAAGGAAAAAAAGGCATTACTTTCCAGCGCTCGATATTCTCTGCGCCAAAATGGCTGCCTCTGTGTAATTTATGCGCATGCCAAAGTAATTAACCCATTTACACACGGATATATTACCATTCCACGTGGCAGTGCTGACAGGAATCAAAATGCTAAACATATGAATAGTTATAGTTAAAGCTATAGTTCTGATGTTTCGGTTTTTCTTTTATCACATAAATATTTAATGGATAGATTTACTCTAAATGCCAAAATAAAATAAGCTAGTGAATGCGTGAATGAGAAATATAATTAATTCAACTTAAATAAGTTTACTAATTTACTATTTTTTCAGTAATGAAAAATCTATTATTTTACAAATTACGTCAAAAAATGTTTGATACAGTTTTATATTTATATATGTTTACTTGATACATTTTTTAGAGCAATAATTTTGCCGTATAGATGCAAAATTATTATTAAATAATAAATACAATAAATAATGCGATTTTAAAGCAAAGATTTATTAAAGTACGTATAAAACTATATCAATATTATTACATCGACTTACATCAATCGCCGTGTGGAGAATTTATTTCAATACTCAGATTACTGCGTTTTCTCATAAACGAGTTTACATGTCACATTATAGAGACATTTTTCTCATAACAAGCGTGAATATATACCTTGAATTTCGTGAACTCTCACGTGGACAGGACGCACGCAGATACGTATCGTCGAACGTTCGTTAACGCCGTAACAAAAGGAAACAGGACGCACGACGACGACGACGACGACGACGACGAGAAGGAGGCGGTGGGAGCCGAGAGGAGACGCGGAGAGAACTCGAGAGGCAAATAACCCTAATTTCATCGTCGGAGACCTGCATTCAGAAAGTCATTATCAAACGACCGTCCCGCACGCCCGTTATAATTACGCGGGCGTTGCACAACAGAAATGTATCGAACTCGCTCTCGCTCTCTTTCTCTTTCTATTTCTCCCTCATCCTGCTTTCACGCTCTTTCCTCCTTCTCGCCGCTCCATCCGCTTTCTTTCTCTTTTCTCTTCCCGTTC